AACATCACAAAATGCTATTAGTGTCTGGACTTTAAAAATTCAACTTTCTGTGCCTTTTTCATCATCTCTAACCAAAAGGGCATGCTTTTACGCTGTCTGTGAAAAAACAATTGAGTGCCCTTTTGGTTAGAGAAGCTAGGTAAAGGTGAAATGGGAGCATTTAGATTTTAGGAATAATAATAATAATAATAATAATAATAATAATAATAATAATAATAATACCCATGACAGTATCCATTTTGAAAAGGAGCACCAATTCTTTATGGAAAAGGGCTATGTGAATAATCCAAGGTCCAGTTCAAATTGTAGACCTGATTTCCATAAATCTAGCTGATCCAGTTCAGATCATCAGTTAGATTCAGAAAGTCAACTCACATTGAACGAACGAAGTTGATTTCTTTTAACTATCGGATCTATAAAAAGTGAGAAGAGAAACCTGCACAGTTCTTCAAATCTTTAATCAATGCAATGCTCCTGACTGGATCTGACACACTTTGTGATTTGATGCAAAGATGCTATTAAAAGAGATGATTTGATGGAATCCGAGCTTCAAACTGGAGTTTGGCAAAACGTTATCCTGAATCCAAGGGAAAAAGGGTGAACTTCCACAGGAACAGATCCACAAAGACAACTGTTGTGTTAGGTATTTCTATTTCTTCCCTATGCATTTGTCCTACTATAAATTCTTTTCTTTTATATATATTTCTCTCCTTGCAATATAGGTCTTATGAGTGTGGTTACGGGCTTAAAACGACAAAGCACAGGACTTAGTGCTAGCTGAGAGGCCTGGTTATTATGTCATTTTCTTGAACACTTTTCAGCTGATGAATCAAGGGATGGGAAAAAGGTCCCCCCACTGTAATTTGAGAAGGGAAAGGTAGCACCGAATAAGAATTCCTTGCATGTGCCATCTTGGCGTTTACTTAATTTATTTCTTTACATTTGTTTCTTGACTCAGGTGTTGAATCACAGGGTACCAAAGAGACAAAACCTGGAAGCCATTTTCTATTTCTATTAGTTGAAGTTTCTCCAGCCAATTTCAGCCCAGCCAAATCTTCAGGTCACAGTGAGTCTGAAGGTCAGTTAATTCATCTGGAACATATGAACGTAGGAAGGACATTCTCTTGGAGGTGTTTAGAGGTCTTAAGGGCATCTTCGAGGGAGGGAGGAGGCAACAATGTCAAAATGGCAGGTGTGACTGGGGGATCAAAGCCTCGCCGCTCTTTAATGTGCATTGCACACATTGCATGCTGTAAAAAGAGGTGGGGCTTTGCCACTACCATTTGAACATTGTTCATCCTACCTGTGGACTCCTTTGAAAGGTTCTTCTCATAATTATAATATTTCTGAGAGACGACAGCCAGATATCTCTGGGAAGCTTGCAAACAATCCTTTGGAATGTCCTCGCAGGCTTGAAGTAAGATAAGGGACAATGAATGCAAAGTATTATCTACAAAAAGAACATACTCTGATGAGAAGTTATCTTGTGCAAATCTCTTTGAAACCCAAACTGTACAAGAACATACTTGGTCCATTGCACAGTTCCTACCCATTCCCCTGTCTCTTCTGTGGAAGAATTTCTTGCTAGGTTAAATCCTTAAAATCAGAAGTATGTGTCTCTTGCATGCCAACCTTAGTGGCACCAACATCTTCAAGGGCAAAGTCACTTCGTTTTTCTTCAAAGCTTTCCTATCTTGGCCCACATTCTGTTCTAATTAATCGGAGGCATTCTGGGTGCTTTTGCTGGCTCAGTGACACACAGATGACGTGCATTCAGGAATAATAATCCTTTCAAAAGGATTATTGCTAATCTTTTCAGATGAGAAAGATTATATCCTGCAGGGATTGGGCACAAACCCAACTTAGGCTAACGTTACTCCTGTTAGACTGGGCCATTCCTTCAGGCTATATGGACAGACGCTTTTAGACAGCCCATGTAAGTAACATCCAAGTACATAGCATTTTCAAACTGTTGTTCAACAAACTCCCCTTTGGGTGAACTGGCTATAACTCTCATTGTTCTGGAGTGAAACGGGCTGGAGAAGATTATATAGTTGCAAGAACATTTCCAAATGTCCTTATTTGCACATTCCTAGTTTATTTCATCTCTCTCCAGCTGCCCTTGACCTCTGAAACTTAATCCTTTCAGAACCATTTTATATCTAGATGCTGAATTATTCTCATAGTAGCGGAGAGGTGTCTTTCACAACCTTCTATCAGTAGATATGGAAAAAGCATCTGGAGATCCCCTTTATATCACAAGGTTATGATAGGAAGGAAAAGTCACTCTGTCACTTGCTTTATCTATGAAAGTTAATCCTATATTCTGCCACTAGGGGTCTCTCTTTGCATATGTGTTAACTTTTTAGAAGCTAAGCAGGTGAGCAGATGCGCCACCAAAAAGCATCCATGTATTCCCTTATCCCAATAGAATTTCTTTTCTGTTTTTAATAACTGTATTAAAAGTTTTAAAACAGAAGATAAAAACGAATACAAACAGATACAAAGTACGGAAGAAAAAAGAAGAAGAAATCAAAGAGAAAGCTAAAAGTTCAAGACAGGAAAAAAAAAGGAAAACTTTTTTCCCCATCCCAATAGAATTTCTATATTAAAAAGAGGCTGCCTCGTGCTAAAATATCACTGAGGCCACCTTCTCCAAGCTGAATCTTCCTATCTGATGAAATCTATCAGAGAGGGCTTACTGAGGATCCCAGATGCAAAGGAAAGCTATCTGCAGGGATCCTATTTATACAGGTAGTCCTCAACTTATGACCATTCATTTAACAACCGTTCAAAGTTACAAAGGCGCTGAAAAAAGTGACTTGCGACCAGTCCTCGCACTTACGACCATCGCAGCATCCCCACAGTCACGTGATCAAAATTCTGGCACTTGGCAACTGGCATGTATTTACATTGGTTGCAGCATCCTGGGGTCGCGTGATTGCCATTTGTGACCTTCCCAGGGGGCTTCCAACAAGCAAAGTAAATGGGGGAAGCTGGATTCGCTTAATGGCCGCATGAGTCGCTTAACGACTGTGGCAAAAAAGCTTGTAAAATCGGGTGTGACTCACTTAACAACTGCATCACTTAACAATGGAAGTTCTGTCCCAATTGTGGTCGTAAGTCAAGGACTACCTGTAGCTTCTACAGGGCCCCCACCTATAGCTTCCTCCCATCCCTGGAATAGCCTACCCCAGTTTTTCAGACCACCCCCACTCAATTATATTTTCAAAGAACCATGAAAACATGTTTTTTCAGAGAGGCCCCAGGGGGTTCCTGAAGATTCTGCTGCCTGAATGGTGACACATCAAGGGCTTCTTGTTGTTATGGTTATGCTATTGTTTTTCTATATTTTAATTTTTATGTTGTTAATTGTAAGCAGCTTAGGATCTTTGGAAAAGGAGCAGCAAATAGGCCAAAGTAATAATAATATCCTGGTGCAAATATCTACTAGGAAGTATGTCTCCTTGAACTTGTTTCTGAGTAAGCGTATTTTCAATACAGTAATATGCATGCATTCATTCCTGGCTTGTTCACTTCCAATAATCCCAATTCAGGACGAGATTCTGTCTGTAAGCAATGGGACTCACTCCTGGCACCACCATCTTGTTTGATGGACAGGTCTAAATTAAACTAGATTCCCCAGCAAAATCCACTCAAATGTTCTTGGGTTGAGTGGAGAACACTTTCCACCATTTTTTAAAAACATAAGTTTCCCTTCTTGGTAATTCTCAGGGCTTCTTGCTACAAAGAGAGGAAATGTTCTTTCAAAGGAACTGCGATAAAAACACCTTGTCATTTTAACCTCAAACAATCCTCCAGGCCCTTTGGACTTCCACGTGCTCCACAGTCAATTTCCTCCCTTGGGAATTCAACTCCACCCAACACCACACAGTTCTGTGAGATGTGTGTAGAACAGCGTAGAGCAGTGTTTCTCGACCTTGGCCACTTGAAGATGTGTGGACTTCAACTCCCAGAATTTCCCAGCCAGCATGGGGAAGATTCTTGCCTGGAACTCACCAAGACTGCCCTAAAATTTGATTTATTTTGTTGAGTGCCCTTCACTGTGGAAATTCCTGCACGTGTTGAGAACTAAGCATTTCGGCACAGTTTTTATCATCTGTGGACATGGATGTGGGACATAACAGAGCTAAGTTCACATTGTGCAAAGAAGGAATTTCTTTTGATGGTCGTGAATCGCTTGACAATCATGTTTGCCAGGTAGACACCAAGATTTCACACTGGCAGATGTGGGAGAGAATTTCTCTGGTGCTGTATGAATGCATGCTATTTCTTTTAATCCTGGAATAGCTCCCTCACCTTATCTTTGGCCTTTTAAAGAAAGGATATTGACCCAGTGCATTATAAGCATTTAATTTCAGTAATTGTGATTTGTAAGGCAGCTGTCTAGTAAATTAATAAAATATCTGATCTTAGGCATGTTATCTCATTGTGTCCGAAAGGCCTTATTTCCTAATATTTATTCCAGAGTTAATTCTGCCTGTTTTCATTCTGCTTTTTTATTGATTGATTTATTTTGGAAGAGATGCCAATGTTTGCAAACAACATCATTAACTCACGATTTCAGCTGGTTTACTATATCTCAGCAACCAAAAGATTATTGTGGTCCCTTAAAGACTGACCCATTTTAGGAGCACGTATGCATAGGCAAAGTGGATGTGAGTCGCAAACGAAGCATAATAATAAAATGAGTTAGCATTTAAGATGCCACAAAACTCTTTGGATTGATTGATTGATTGGCTAACTCTTTGCAAATATTTGTAAACTGTTTTCCCAAGAAGAATTCAGTTCTATTCTGCAGTTTCATAAATGCATACTTCAGAGTAAGTTTCTCTCTGATTCTCTTAAGATGCCTTAAACTTCTGCAAACATTAAAGCAGTCCCAAAAAACCATGTGTAACTAAGATTTCGGTTAATGAAGTTATTGAAACATCCATCCACAAATTAAAAGCACAACGCACCTCACACACTCATGTACACACACACACACACACACACACAAGATCCAGTATGTAATTAAAATATAGCTCAGGTTGGGCAAATAAGGAAAATAAATCACAACTTATCGCCCTATATTCCAAAAATATTAATATTTCCAATTAAACAGGCTCAGACAATTAGCAGCGTAAAGATCCCACAGTTAATTGAAAAGAGAAGTGTAAAAAGTACCAGGGCAGAGAAGTTAGCTACCTGCTCCAAAGTAAGATAAGTCTACATGTGGATAGAGAGGCCATACGAAAGTGGTTTCTTGCCCTTATGTGGAAAACCGAAGAAGCGAAATAAAAAGAAAAAAAAATATTCTGCACTTCTTTAGGGGACTTCTTGCTTGATAAGACCACATCCTCTTTGACAGAGAATATTTTCCCAGATGTGTACACAGCAACAAAACCAGAAGCACTATCTTGTTTGTTAAACTCTCTGGGTTCTTAGACTTTGCACAGAAAATGAATTAGGAGCAATGGTCTGACGGGGATGGTAACTCCGATTAAACCAACTGATGGATGACAAAGGCTTATTCTGAATATAGAAGTTGACAGAGCTGAGCCAAGAGTGGAAGTTTCTAATCCCTGGATTTCTTTGCAAGCTGAAACAGAAAACTGAGAGGAGATTCAGGTTTTCTTCCCTTCAAAGACCAACAAGCCACCTTGGAACCTAATGATAAACCCAACATCCCATACATTCCCCCAATCGTTACGCATTCAGCAGAAGGTTGGACTAAATGACCTCAGAGGCTTCCTGCAGCCTGATAAGTTCTCCCGGTTCTTCTTTCTGCCTCCTGAAAGCAGGTTTTACTTACGTCGTATTTCTCCACCAGCTTCAGCGGTGAAGCCTTCAGTTGTCTTCTCCAGCGCTTCTTTGCATAGTTCCAGGGCGGGTAGAGCAGAAACACGAGGCATAAAGTCGTTGTAAAGAACGTGGTCCAAAAATGCAGCTTGTCCCCCATTCCAGCTTCTGCACTCTTTGTGCACTCTCAAACATGAAAATTGCAAATCCTGGGGAGGATGAAACTTGCTTCAGGTTTCTTTGGAGGAGAAAAGAAAAAGGGAGACAGCCGGATGGAAGTCCGTTAATCACCCGAAATCAAATTCTGTTCCCTCCCCAGCAATTTGTCCTTAAAAGGGGTCAAGGGCTGAGGTCTCGGGCCAGAAAAGATGCTGTTGTGTGGCCAATAAGTTTCTTGCTCCGAGTTTGATCCATTTCTCTGATCTTGCAGTTGCTCACCAGCGGTGTCCCCCCCCCCCACACCCCCCACCGGCTTTCTAAGGAAAGATAGATGAAAAGATTATTTTTAAACCTTTGTTTCAACATCTGGCTCTCCTGGAGAGGCACAGAGAGAATGAGAGCAAGAGAGAGGGGGGCCCATTCAAATGAGGAGAGAGAGAAAGGATCGGATGACAGCTGCTGTAAGCGAAGAAAGGAGAAAGCTCAGTAATAATAATAATAATAATAATAATAATAATAATAATAATAATAATACTGTAATGGTTAAAAAGCTCTCCAAGGAAGAGGAAGGACAAGTTGGAGCAAACTGCTTTTCCAGGCAAGCCTATCACAGCTGCTAAGGACTGTCTCTTCTTCCTAATTTGTTCTTCTGAGGGCATGCGTCCAGCTAGGGTGTGTAAGAACATAGCTTTTTCTTAGACCGGCGTCTTGTTTTATGTGGTGGGGCAGCCGTAGACTTTTGAGAATACAAAAGAATCTTGCAAGGAATCCAGAAGATTTTTCAGCATCTTCTAGTTAGGCCAGCAAACAACAGAGAATCAGACATGGTTGAAATAACCAGGATAAAATCAAACCAGGAAAAAACCAATCCTAGATAAAAATCAGACACTTCATTGATTTCTATATAACCTATTTTTATTTGTTCTTCTGATGTGTTTTCAATAATATATCAGTCAAGGAAGCTCCTAATCATGGACAGACAAGGAACGAGCTTGACTTATACTGGTAGTCCTCGTTTAGCGACTGCCTCGGACAGCAACTGTTCACAGTTATGATGAAAAAGTAACTTTATGACCAATCCTTGCATTTACAACCTTGACAGGTCTGTAAAGCAAAGGAAAGCTGAAGGAAGATGGTAAGCACGGTCACAGTTTCACTTAGTGACTGCTTTGCTTAACAACTCAGTTGCTGGTCCCAATTGTGGTCACTAAATAAGGACTACCTGTATTATCAAGGACTCTATTATTGTATTATTTTGTCATTTTTCGTTGTTTTCTTTTGGTTGGTTTTTAATGTTATGTTTGCCTCCCAAAGGCACTGCTGGCGAGATGGGTCACTATATAAATCTACTTAACAAACAAACCTGATAACATTTTAGCATTTCCTTCGTCAAACAATTATTGTTAACATTATTTGAAACGTGCTCAGGAGTATCAATAAACATTTGTGATTATTTATACTTCGTACTTGTACCTCCGCAACAGTAGATCTGTGGTGTACAACAGAAGGACAGCAATCAGGCTGGCATATTACGATAAGTCATGGTTTATTGAACCATGGTTTCTTGGATAAACCATGATACACATGATGTCCCTAAAGGCTTGCAATCTGTGATATGTTAGTAGGGAAGACAGCGAAGGAAAGAAGAGAAATACAGAGGTACGAGTAAAAGAAGAATTAATAATGCCTCACCCACTTTGGTGAAAAAAAGGTAGTGTTATTTCTGGACAAGATCTGGGCTGTCAAGTCTGAAGGCCTTATTTCTTTCCACAACTGTGCACTGCATGAAATAAACCATGTGTGTCTTATTAAGGAGGCACCCTCCTGGAAGGATGAATTGGCATGGAGACATTGAAATGCACAAAGGATTCTTACATTTGAAAGAGGAAAATAGCAAGAATGTAGAGTTTGGATGAAGGAAGAAAAACAAAATGGGCCACCTCTTGAAGAAGCACGCTGACACTCCTTTATAGAAGCTCACTGGTTGATTTGGGGCCAGTCATGCTGTTTCAGCCCCAATTCACCTCTCATGATTTTTGTTGTGGGGGCAAAACAAAGAGAAATCTTTGTGGAAGCTGTTTTGAGAAAGAAAGGTGGATTATAAACCTATCAAAGAAACACGGTGTGGATGAGGAAAGATCTGATTGGTCATGGCACCTAATTAGGGAACATCCATTTGGCCCTTTCTTCCCATATAAATTATAAATGGCCAATTGAAAATATGTTGTTGTGCTGGACTTCTACTTGGCATGTTATCATGATGTCTGGATTTGGGACCAACTGATGGTTGGAGAGTATCACCAGCCTCCAAATATGGATGCCCACCATCCATATTTGCCCACCAGCATGAAGACATCCTGCAGCAAAATCTTGTTCTGGGTGCCTCATGAAGGAAAGCAGCAGTAGCACCACAGGAAGACCACTGCTGTCAGGATTTCGCAACATCACACTAGTCAGTCACCCGTAACCAGAGACAAAGGAACTTCGTCACTGACGCCTGTTGAGGATTTGTTCAAAGACCACCCAGGGTTCACATCCAACTAAATAAGGAAAGTTGCTCTTTGGAAGAGAAACTTCTTTCAAAATTAGTTTATCCATTTTCCCACATTATCACATTGCAGAATAAACCATGGCATGGGGCCTGATTATCTGAGAGACCACCCATCTCCAATTGTTTCTGCTGGCCTGATATGTTTGGGCAGAGTGAGGCTGCTCCAGGTCCCTTCAATTAAAAGTTGTCTTCTTGTAGGACCAAGAAAGGGGGCCTTCTCTGTCACAGCCCCCGCCCTCTGCAGCAGCATCCCCCCAGAGGTACAGATGGTGCCCTCTCTCCTGGGGTTCCAGAAGGTCCTTAAGACCTGGCTGTGTTCCCAGGCCTGAGTTTAATGTGTTTGGAGGGGGAAGGAGGCTCCTGGCCTGTTTCTTATTATTGTTGTGGCTGTTCTGAGTCCAGGCTGTCTCATTTTGTTTCTGTTTTTAACTGTTTTTAATGTGTTTTGGATTTTATAAGCTACCTGGAGTCCATTGGAGTGGGAGGCCTTTACAAATTTAATGAAATAATTAAACAAAGGAATACATTGCAAGAATGGCATTATCAAGGCTTCTCAATTAATTTCTGGAGGCACGTCATCTTTTGCAGAAGTAGCCATTTGACAACATTGATGATTTATTATTTTTGTATCGTCCTTTCCTCCATGACACTTTCTCCTCCAAGTTTCAGCAGAGCAGTCCTATCAGCTGACAGTATATGGCACAATCGCCCTGCAAGTTTTTATGGTGAGGATGGGTTTGAACCTGTGTCTCTGACATCTTAATACACCAATGTTTTCTAGCCTTAGCAACTTTAAGATGTGTGGACTTCAACTCCCAGAATTCCCTAGCCAGCATGCTGGCTGGGGAATGCTGGGAGTTGAAGTCCACACATCTTAAAGTTGCTAAGTTGAAAAACACTGCACTACACAACAGTGTCCCTCAGTTTACTTAATTCACATTTAAGTATGAACTAAATGACTCTTTGGAAACACATTTTCCCATATTTAGAGCACATTACTATTATAAGTATTGTATACTTATTTTACTACTAAGGAACTTTAGGGAAAACTAATACAATACCAAAGAACTCAATCATCTTTGCCATTTTTCATCTTTTAATTGAAAACAAGCAAAACAAAACTTCTCCAGGGATTCTGAACAAGATGTTGTAGAGAAAATGAGAAGACTTCATCTTTCGTCAGGTAACAATGTCTGATTCTTGAAGTGGTAGATGGAATTGGCCAAAAGGGAAAAACAGGCCAGGAGATAATCAAGTCCAACATTTTGAGGATGGAGAAGATTCACAGGTGAATGGGAGAATGAATTTAAATGACCCCAAATTTCAGTTGCTGCCCATTCAGTGTGAGAAATTGTGAGGAGGCTGAGAAAGTCATGAGAAAAAACACTTGATATAAACAACCAAGATGGAAGAGGAGTTTGTTAGTAGCTTGTCTCATAAAAGACAGCTTTCTCCAGGTGGATGAAGGCCAAGAGGAAGAGACTCAAACATTCAATGAGACTCTGCCTAAATGAATTCTTGCTTTTACTCTTTGTATGATATTGTTTTATCTTATGGTTGTGCACCACCCAGAGCTCTGGTTTTAAGGTAGACGGCCATGGCCACGTAAATATTTTAAATAAATAAATAAAAGAGGGCTGGAGGTTCTTAAAGGCATTTCTGTGATTCCATACCTTACCCTTCATCCTTGCCTTAAAAGTCCTAATTGAAATCTATGTGACTCTTGCTGCATTGACATTCACCCAGAGCTGAAAATCAGGAGACCGACTCATTGGTCTTCTGCCAACGAGTTTGGAGAGCTGGCATTCAAAGCAAGACTTGAATGAATGCTGTAAACTAATCAACTTTTGATCTATGCTTGGATTTAAGAGCAGCTATTTGTTGAATCATTGAATCGTTCAAGTGGATTTTACGATCAATCAGAACATTTAATTCTTATTGAGATCCTTACTTAGACAAAGAAAATGGTTTCTAACTGGCTGCTGAGCTGTTCTGCTAACGCTGAGCCTCATCTATTCCATCTACTGCAAGTGATGCCATCAACTTTTATCTATATTTCTTCTTGTGACAACATTTGTCAGCAACACATTCCTGATTCCTTTCTTTTTAAAGCTGTTTGGAGGAAGGCATTTCAGCTTATCTAAAATTAGCACAGATTCAGGATTTTTTTTTTTTGGTTTATTCCATGCATGGATAATATCACCATCTCAAATACATTTGTGAGATGAAAAAAGACAGACGAGGTTTAATTTGGAAGTAGTGAATATTTATATAAGATTCAACATTATCTGCTACATTGAATAGCAATTTAAGAGTCCTCAATTCCCCACAAGTTGCCTGGCAATTGTTTTTGTGAACAGTGGTGCAAAATAGATGTGACAATGGGTGGGCTCATGCCACAGGCTGAACTGTAGCTTGCGTAAACATGGTTCATCGAATATAACCACAACTGGTTCGGCTTGCACAGCACTCTAGCCCATAAGCCTTGGTTTGCTAAGCACAGTGCTAGGTTCATACTGTCAGATTCATCATCCCTATCCACCAAATTGTTTTTGGGTTCATGCAAAATGAGAATTTGCAAATCAAGCAAACTACAATGTGGGCACCACATTGCAAGAGTGTTGATGTAAGCTGCACAAATTGATGTCCTGCCGAGTTCACACCCTCCTCCACTCTGTAGAAGTTCACTTTGTGAGTAGGCAAGTGGAAGCCTTGTTCCTTTAGCACACATTTATGTAAATATGTGCATATAAAGACCTTAGCCATGGCTCCTGAGATACATTTTGGACTATTGAGGCCAATGAGGACGCATCATTGTTCTGGGCTCTCCCAATTTTCCTACTATGTCTGCATTAATAAGGCTGTTTTTATCGTAACAACTGCCCTGCTGAAGGAATGATTTCTGTATGTGCATTAAATAGATTTATAACCTTAATTGTAAGCAGGCTACTGTAGCAAGCCAGTTTTAGAAAGTCATAAAACTTAGGGAAATTGCTCAGATCTTCAG